GAAACAGATGCTTACCAGAAAAAGGGAGGCCGGAAAGGGATTTGCCGACGTCCTACGACGGTTGCAAGAGCAGAAGACCGGTGGAAATCTCGCCAGAAGGGGTGAACGGAGAAGGATGCAGAGCTTTGGAAGCTTGAGCAATGGCGGATTTGAAAGAAAGAGTTTTAAAGAGAGAAAAAAGCAAGAGAACTCAGATGCAAAAGTGAATAGACGAAAGAAAGGGGGAAAGATTTTGTCAAAAAAAGAAAATGGCGGCAAAAGCAAGCAATACGCCTAAAAGAGCGCATACGTCAGACGACACATGTGAAGAAGAGATGACTTATGGGCGCGTCACAAGCACGAGCCAGTAAGAAAGAAACGTGTGTCTAAAACGGTTGAATTGAAGTGCATGACAACTCATGCGCGTAAAAAGTTCCTTAAAAATCTTTGATTTTTTAGGGAAAACATGTCGGCCAGAAATGAATGATCTCGGCTGTCAAATCTTAAGCCGATTTACTGGAAGAAAATACAGATATAGGTTCCATCACCTTAGAATGACGAGGTAATAGAACATAGGGGGCAGTTGTGGGGATGTATTTTCTGAATACCAACACGTGGCAAGGTGACGCCGACGTGTCAGCCGAAGTGCCACGTGTCCTGGTTGTGACGCCGAGTTTATCTCGGCGAGGCCGAGGTTATCTCCGAAGATATCAGAATCCGAGATAAGCGGATAATGGATAAGGGGCAAGAGTTCTAGAGTAAAGAGAAGATTTTGCTAAGATAAGGATAAAGTTCTTAGGGAGTTTATTTTTATCTCTTGAGAAATTCAAAGTAAGTACAGAATTGGAGTCCATAGAAGTCAAGCTTCTAGTGGGACTAGGATTGAGTAAACTATAAAAAAGAGGCACCCCGTAGGTCTAAGGTACGCAGTTTTATGCTTTGAGTAGTGAGTTTAGCACTTGATTATCTTTGAGAGATATTCTGACTTGATCGTCGGAGTGCCCCCGGGTGGAAGAGCCACCGCCGAAGCCTTTTCTTTCTGTTACAGGTTTGCTGAATCCATCTATTCTGCCGGTGTTTTCCAGCTGATTACTAGGCGGGCAGTGTGGTCAGAAAATCACTCACACAAAGTTCAATAGCGTTGATGATGGTAATGAAGATGACACATTCAAGATTTAAAATGATTATGAAAAATAATAGATTTAAGGTTTATGTTAGTTGGTTATGAAAAGTAATAGGTTTATGATTTATAAATATGGAATACGTATAGTTGGAGTTGGAGTTGGAGGTAGAGGTGGAGGTGGAGGTGGGGGGTCCAATATTATTGAGTATTAGTTTTTATTGGTAGGTGAGTGTTCCATTTAATAATGTCTTTTAATGTGATTTTACTTTAGGGTATAATTGTAATAAAAAAAAAATTATAAAATGAGGGTCTAAAGAATTTTGACAGGTACTAATAGCAGCACTCTATAAAAATCATACTAACTAAAATTTTAAAAATTTATACAATTTTTTGCAATTAATTACACTATTCCCTAAATAATTTGAAATTCTCTTTTATTTTTTGAAAGAAAAATATTAGGCGTTCCAAATTTTTTATCAAACAAATTAATTGTGGACCACACACCTATTTGATCATTTGTTTAGTAAAAAATTTGATTTCCATAACATTACTCTTCTTGAAATATCAATAACGTTCTTTGTCAGCTAATACCGTTAAATAACAGATTAAATTTACTGAAATACCCTTTAATTATATTATTCTTTCTTTCCATTGTACTCTTTAACCTTTCAATTGAAAACTACCATATGAATCATTAACTTTCACCTTACTAGACATACTTGCATCTATTTAAATCTTACCAGTAAAACCAGAATCATTTACCTAAGTAAACCCGACAATTCCATATACACATTACCATTCCCTCCACTATCCAATAGCACACTGTTCACACATCCATGGCAAAACCTACCTTACTACAACGAGGTTTTAATTACTACATTGTTTACATCAATTGATATTACATTGATATGGCACTCCATATGCCTACATCATACTATTTTGATTACTATTCACAAATCAAGTGATGTAGCAAAATATTATACCAGATGAAGGCCCTCAATTGTATAGCCCTAAACTTTGGCAAGGTTCAATTTGGCAAACCCAGTATCACATATGTGCGATAGGTGTGTGGTCCACAATTAATTTGTTTGATAAAAGATTTGGTGTCCCTAGCATTACCCTTATGAAAGAAAAATGCTAGAGGTTCCAAATTTTTTACCAAATAAATGACCAAATGTCTCACATGGGTGTGGGGCCCACAAAATTGCGGACCCCACACCCATGTGAGACATTTGATCATTTGTTTGGTAGAAAATTTGGTGTCCCTAGCATTACCCATTATGAAAAGATAAAAAGAGATTGATGAATATAGATGATGACCACCCAAAATTGAATGATTATTGAGTACTTTCAGAGTATAACTACGTGATTTGGGAGTACCTAATAATTATTTTTTAAAATTTGCTTGATAGAACTTGGATAGGTGATTATTCGATAGTCCACGAGTGAAGGAGTCTGATCACATGATATTCTGAGACTATTTTCAATTTTTCTTTTATACTCATCTATTCAACTACAAAAAAAAATTACAAATCATTTAAAAATTATTTTCAAAATATACAACCAAATAAATTTTTAAAATTTATAGTAACTCTTTTCAAAAAACTATCTTACCAAATTAATTTTCAAATCTAAATCAAACGGAGTCTAAATTTGTCATTTGGAGTTTTACATATGTTGATGTTGACTAACAGGTGGACCTAGTTGTTACACATTACAGCAAGGAAAATAGTGTATTTCAAAGAATAGAGAGGTGTCTATATGATTTTAGAAGAGAAGAGGGTTGTGAGTGTAAATATTGAACATGTTTGGTTTGTCTCTCCAAACATGTTTTTTAAAAAAAAAATTCAAAAACTTTGAATTTTTAAAACAAAAAAATTCAAAATAACTTTTTTCTATACTACAGGCAATCAATCATTTTTTTTCTCCATTCTTTTATTTTCAATCACCTTTTATTTCACACCCATCTATTTAACTATAAAAAAATATCAAATTATTCTAAACGCCAAAACTCTAAAATTATTTTAAAAATATACAACAAAATAAAATTTAAAATTTTTTAAACTCTTTAGAAAAATTTATTTTAAAAACAACATCTCAAAACATAAATTAAAAAAATGACCCCGCTACGTAGCTCGAAAACGAAGAGTTCGAATGGCTCGAATTCTTTTTTTATTCTTTTTCTTCTCCTTCACACTTTCTCTTCTTCCTTCCTTCGGTTTGTTGACTTCTCTCTCCTTCATTCTTTCTCTCTCTCTTTCCTTCTTTCTCTTCTTCCTTCCCATCTTGAATCCAAAAATGTAAACCTGTGCATCTTGAATCCACACAGCCCTCTCTCTCTCTCCTAAAACCCACAATTAATTTCAATCTTGAAAAAATCAGAGCTTGAAAAATAATCATATTAATTATTAATTGCGATTAGTTCGATAAACATCATCGTAGACCCATAAAAATTAGAGCTTGAGTAATTTTACATAATTTCAAACTAATAAACCAGAGCTTGAAAAAATCACAAAAAAAAATAAAAAAAAATCAAAACAACCACAGTCGAAGACCTATAGCCGAAGATCAAGCTTCGCTCTCTCCGTCCATGGCAGATCGAGCTTCGGCCGATCAAACTTTGGCAGCTCCTCTCTTTCTCTCACCTCTTTGTTTTTCTCTCACATATCTCTTTCTCTCAAACCAGTTCAACAAAGAAAGAAAAAGAAGAAAAATAAAATAAATAAATAAATAAATAAATAGAGTATCAAAACAACGTCGTTTTGACACTCGGGGCATTCGAGCTACTCGACTTTCGAGCTACCACACATTTCTCTTAAAAAAAAAAATTTGTTTGAAGAATTTGTTTCCAATTTGGAGACATTAATGTGAAATCCGACGGGCATCAAGTGGTTCCAACTCCCAACACCAACATTTCCGCAGCGCGTTCGGATCCTCTAGAGTGATCCTGTGAAGTGATCCTCTAGAGTGATTTTTTATGACGTGACACGTGTCCCATTAATGGAATCAAGGCTGAGATGATCCATTTTCAAAATGACGTTGTTTTGGTATTTTATTTATTTATTTATTTTTGCAGATCGGGAGGGAGGAAGAAAGGAATGGGTTAGAGAGAGAATCTCCTCATTCTCTCTAGAACCGTGGAATCAATCTCCTCCGTCTTTTTCTCTGCAATTTTTTTGCAAAGTTTGATGCATGCCATTTGAATCTATTTTTCAAGAAGCTTCAAGGGCATATAGAGATTTTACAAAGATGATCAAACCCATTAACCTAACATAGCAAAAAAAAATGAAGATCGATTTTGAAGATTGAAATTGAAATAAAAATTCAAACTCATTATTCACCTAAAAAATAAAAAATAAAAAACAAATTGAAAAATGAAATAGGATGGATTTGCAGAGAAACCCACACGAACCCAACATAGGAAAAAATGAAGTTCGATTTTGAAGCTTAAAATTGAAATAAAAATTCGAACTTATGAAGACCCAAATGAATTCCCTCTGTTAAAGCTATCACACTTCACTGTCTGATGATAACCCAAATGACCAACAACAGGGTTTGAAGCCCAAATTGAGATTTGGGTCTGGTTTTTTAGTTTCGAAATTGTGTAATTCATCTGCTGGAAACTCGTTCACCATGTTTGCTGAGATCCTTCATTAAATCTTATAAACTGACCATACCCCCGACGTATTCAATGAAAGATTGAATTCGGAATCTTAGAACAAAACACGGTTCCAGAGAGGAGGAGATCCTCTCTCTAACTCATTCCTTCCTCCCTCTCGATCTGCAAAAAAAAAATAAAAATAAAAACAAAAATAAATAAATCAAAATAATATTATTTTGGAAAGAGATCATCTCACTCATGGATTCCATCAATGAAACACGTGTCGCGCAATAAAAAAATCACTTTACAGTATCACTCTAGATGATCCGGACGCTTCCGCAGCGCTAGAGCAACGCACGCACGGGGGCATCTTCTTCCCGCTTCTTCTTTCAGTTGGCATTTTATACTAGCAGAGAGACCAGAAAGAAAGAGGAACAAAACATAGAGAGCAACAGAGAAGAGAAAGAGAAAACCAGATATGTGCGGGAGAGCTCGATGTACGCTGAGGCACGACGACATACACAGGGCTTGTCACCTCACCGGTCGCCCCCTCCGATCCGTCGATACGAACCGGTAATCCCCTTTCCCTCTCTCTCTCTCTCTCGATCAATATCTAATGAAGCTGGGTTGAATTTCAGGTACCAGCCATCCTATAATGTTTCTCCCGGAAGGGATTTGACTGTGGTTCGAAGAGACGATGGTTCTGGTGGTGACGGTGCGGTTCTTCAGTGCATGAAGTGGGGACTCATCCCCAGTTTCACTAAGAAAACTGAGAAACCTGATCACTACAAGATGGTATAGTTGTGCTTCCTTCTTAGCATCTTTTGACTTCACATGACTAGTTATGTTTGATTTTGAATGTCTCAACAATTACAACCCGAGGGTTGTAGCCCCGTGATTACGGGCTTACTCCAATCCAATGTGATTTCGTGAGTCTCTGGGGTCATGCGCCCGAGACTAATCCCTATTAAACTTGGCCAATGGCTCCTTATCACTATGTTCTCGGTTGGGTTGTCCATCTTGAGAGTGGGTCCATGACAATCCCTTTTGTTCTGCACTCGAGTGGGTAGGGATTCCTATCGTCACGACGTGATGGTCGCCCCCTCTTAGCCCTTCTTGTCACATAGCAAAAAAAACCCAACAAATGTTTATGCTATTTGAAAGTCAAATGGTTCATTTTTATTGTGTTTATCGCTGGTCTTACGTTTGGCATTGATTATAACTTTTTGTTAACATTTTTGGCATACTTATGTTGTATATCTACCTGTTTGTGGATCTGCAAAACCGAGGTTGAACTGTTGAGTTGAGAGCTTCAATTTTTTTCAACCATATGCCACCTAGAAGAACTTATTTTGTGATTAAGTGGTAATTCTTGGCATGCGTGTGATCGTTGGAACATTCATGAGAATGAAAAAGGTGCATTTGGTCAATAGATCATCTTATGGTTTCTTTATAAGCTCAATAGGACTTCGTCAAGTTATGGTGAGTCCTGTTTGTCATCTTAATTATAACCCCACCCTAAAGTTACATCAGGCTTATTACTTATATTGTTAATTCCTTTTTTCTTTTCATCTCCTTCCCATATGTTCAGGATGTAATAGCTCCAAGTGGTGTGCTTCGCATAACATTTAAGCTTGAAGGTCTAAACTGTCTGACTGTTTAAAATAAACCTCATAGGTGTTTATTGCTCAAGCAAAGATAATTTGAATGTTTTTAGGCTCATAAATTATCTTATTTAAAATCACATATTGTTGGCCATATAAATATGCCATTGTGTACCTTAAGACGACTATGTTGTGTATTGCAGTTCAATGCTCGCTCCAAGTCAATATGTGAAAAAGCTTCTTTTCGTCGCCTTGTGCCCAACAATAGGTGCCTTGTGGCTGTGGAAGGGTATGTGCTGTACAATGGTTTGTTTGCAGAGTGCTGTGTTCTTTTTTACCTCTGTCGAAGGAAGACATTTTAAAACTCATTTAACATTTCATTTGAGTCTTTGAAGTGTTTATTGCATCTTTTGTTTTTTTCTTGATATGTAAAGTCTTTTGTTATGATTTTTTCAACTTAGAAAGACATTAACCTGGGAATGTATTCTTTTCTTATCCTAAATGAACATGCTTATCTAGGGAAAAAGGAGAGTGAAATAAAAAATCTTAAATGAACATCAGAAGTTAGGAACTATAGACAAGAGGCTTGAGCAGGAGATCAGATTATCTTGCGTGTATTATCATATTTTGCTATTCTCCATCATAATTGGCCTGGTCTAAAACATGGCTCTGCTTCCTGTATAGCAATCTTCTATAAGCTTTCACGGTTTACTATATCAGTCGTGTTCTAGCCAACCTTTAAAGAAGGTAATCGTGGGATCACTGGTGCTTATTTAGTTTCATTTTAGGCAATCTGATGAGCTGATCTGGAATGAAATTCTGACAATTTAGTCATTGTAGTTCATTTACCATATTCATCCCATACCCTGTCACACTCATATAACCAACTTCCCTGTATTTACATTTGATATATAGTAACAAAAGGGGTTCTTCTTTTCAATGCCGTATGCCTAATTATATGTTTATTTTTCTGGCTGGAGTTCTCTATGTTCGTAAGTACATAAAGTTAAGAATTCTTTGTATCATTCAAGGTGAACAGTTTGCAGTAAGATGGCACTTCTAAATATGTATGTTGTATGCAGCTCAGTTATTTATGTTTTGCTTCTAATGTTCAATGTGTAACGGGAATGGAATACTGTTCAGATTCTACGAGTGGAAAAAAGATGGGTCTAAAAAGCAACCTTACTACGTTCATTTTAAGGATGGTCGGCCCCTTGTGTTCGCTGCTCTTTATGATTCTTGGAAAAACTCTGAAGGTGAACCACCATTCTTGCATTCACATTTGAGCTAGCATATCTGTTGCGACAGATCATTGTTTATTGTAGATGTTTTGGTCATCTCTATTTAGGCATATAATATTAGTGGAAAAATTATGTTTTAGCTTGAAAACTGTTTCAGTAAATAGTATCTCCCTATCTGCAGCTGTCAATTCCCATTCTTTTGGTGTTGAATGTAGACAGCTAATTGGCATATTACGACTTCAAATTGTACTGCTATTTAAATGGATAATGCTGGATTTTGTGCACTTTGGACTACGCACTAATTAATTTGTACTTACCTGCAGAAGAGATTCTTTATACATTCACTATTGTGACAACTTCCTCGTCACCAGCTTTAGAGTGGTTGCATGGTTAGTCATGTTTTAAGGTTCAATTCATATGGCCTGTATTTTAGTTATTTAATCTGTCTGAACACTTTACAGTTATAGGCTTTGTTTGGTTTGTTTTTCAGAAAAATTTTTGAAAAAAATTCTCTACAAACAAATTTTCAAGAGTAATCAAACCAAACAAATTTTTTCAAAAAAAATCTCAAAATTTTGTTTGGTTACCTACTTTCCAAAATCACACTACTCCTCTCATACACATCAAATATCAACTTTTTTTTAGGGAAAATTATTTATAAGTCTATTAGGGAGTCTTATGTACATATGGTCATCTAAAAAACTTATGTTCCCATAGTCCTGTGGAAAGTTTGTTGACAATTTTACCCTCAATATTAGTTGTTAATATCATAAATAATAGTAAACCATATATAGGAAATTGAATGTTATCATAGATCATATCTATATATAATGTAACGTACGTGACAACCTACATAAACTACGTGACACTATGATTATGGTAAATCATTCTTAATAGAAAATTGACATGTTACTCATAATCATTCATCAACATAAACGTGAACGCACAGTTAGGAAATTGAATGTTGATCATAGATCATATCTATATAAACGTAACAGTAACGTGACACCTAAATAAACGTAACGCGACACCTATGATCTTATGATAACATTCAATTTCCTATATGAAACGTAATGTGACAAGCATATAAGCGCAGCAACATTTCACAATTCAATTTAAAAAAATAAAAACTCATTAGGTTTGTGAAACGTAACGTGACACGTTTACGTTACGTTTAAATGTATGGGTCACGTTACGTTTACGTTTATGTCAAGTGTCACGAAGCTCACGTTAGCGTTTATGTAGGATCTTGTAAGAATACATTCCTATCTAAATAGGACTTGGGACTCGTGTAAGAAATTTACACAAGATTTAGCCTACCAGTAATTGCTGAAAAAGAACTTATAAATAAGTCCTTTTTTTTAAAACTCTCATCCTTCCAATACAATTTTCCAAAACAATTTTTTGAAAAAAGTCAACCAAACAAGTTTTTTACTTTTTATTTCAAAAACTACTTTACAACACACAAATAAAACACACCCATAATCTGTCTGAACACTTTACATGGTTAGTCATGTGCTTTCTGGGATGTACTGGCCATGCCATTCATTTCTTTTGGAGAGGAGATTAATTTTGGAGGCATTCGTACACATATGTTGGTCCATATTGGATTTCACAATGGGAGCCTTGTGCACAAGGTCATCCATTTTTGTATAAGAAATTAGCAGTTTGGCAAATAAAACTCTAATAGGTTTTGGGTGTATGAGTCCCTCGCCCCAAAAATCAAAATAAATTTGTCTCCTCCTGGCAAATTCCCTTGGTCGGCCATTACTGGAAACTGATTTATGAGTTGAATTCATTGCACTCATACCAAAACAAGATATGGTATGGATACATTTTTCATAGAGTGTTTGATCAACATCTATATCCTTGTACACGCCCTCTTAAGTAAAGACATTAATCCATGTGTCATTCATAAGATTCTTAATCGTTAAATTGAAATTTGTCATTTCCCACACTTACACGGGTTAATATTATCATAAGGGTATTTCACATAAATTACAAATGTTTACAAATTAATAAAGTGGATCATATAAATCCCAATGGTTTATAACTTTCTAAGTCCAATACGTTGTATTACATACAAAGGAAGAGTTCTAACTCTTTTACATATAAAAGCCCTTGTGCTTGGAAATTACAAGGTAAAAAAAATTGAAGCATACAACAAAAAGATAGCTTTACAGCCTCTAAACCAACTCCAAGCTAGCCTTGGGAGGCGGCACATCTACAGTACCGATTAAAAATGATGTCCCAGTATAGGGTGAGTCCAACGCCCAGTGGATTGTAAACATGATATATGAGATTTAACTTCAAACATTAGCATATGATAAATGCTTTAACACATGTTACATCGTATATATCATATCTATAACCGGCATCAACTTTGGTCATTCATCTTCAATCACGGTTTCATCCCTATTTCCATTCACTTTATTATACAGGGTTTTTTATCCCAAGTATATTCAATTGAGATACAACTCGTGAACAACTAACAACTCAAGTTTCATCAACAATTGCAAAATGATGAGATTACAACTCATATTGGTTATATATCTTCAAATCATCAAATATTTCAAAATAGGAATACAACTCATATTATAATGAACTATCAAATCATAATCAAAGCTCAAAATGAGAGCTATACTCAACTCAACTATGTTCAAACTACACCGTGGGCGTCTGAATAGTGGGGTTTTCAAATACTTCAATACCTCAAACTTAATCATTTATGTATGCAAACTATTTACAGATTTCGGTAAACTTTCACTTGT